GAGCGTCTATTATTTTTGCCTATACTAACCATTCATAAAGAATCTCCATTGCCGCATTGTTAATTCTGTGTGGAATCTTGAAGGGGTGCCTGCTCCAAGAAAAACAACAATAATAGTCTACACAGTCTGGGCTTTCTCCGCTTGGCTTTCGGTGTTCGGTGTTCGGTTACAGCAATGGGCAGTTGTTTCTATTAACATAGAGATCAGGTTTCACTGGTGGTATTCTCGAAAGGTTGCATAAATTATTCAAATAGCAACTTAGATATTTGTTCGGTGATAATATTCAACAGCAGAACTACTTAATTCGAGATCTACGATTTGAGGGTCGAGAATCTGAATCAATAACAACTGTTTATTATAATAAAGGTACAGTATATACTCCGAAAATTTTGGACAAGTCGACAAAAACGAGTTTGACTCGAGGGTTGTAAACTTGCATAAGTTCATTAATTGTATAACTTGATCCTTTCTGACCCATTACATGAAAGTTATGGAATTTTATCTCGATCCTTTCTCCATATAAATGATAGTGTGGGGGCATTGCCCAGTCTTGTATTCTTCATTCTAGTAGCTATTGTAAATACCAATTCAGATTTTAGATGTTTATTGAACCTCTATATACATATATAGCTGTAAATATTTCGCTAGCAAAGTCTCTCTAGGCGTAAACCCGTTATCTGTTACCGAATTACGGTCACTTGTCGACAGGTGGATAAATATCCGGACCTCAAATATTTCCCTCGACGCTTTCCATATTATAACAATATAGGTATTCGAAACCATCTTGAAAAAATTGTATATAATTCAGAATTTCGTGGTCAGTGTACTTCTTTCCGTTATACTTTACGATAATATTAATCATACGACATACGACAGTAAATGATAATACATATTGGGAAACAAGGCGTGGTTTGACTCAGAAACGTCAATGGCAATAATAGAGCAGTAACTTTTTTGTTAACCATGTATAATATAAAGATACTTTCCATAATCCTATACTCCTATTCTGATTTGACGGTATTTAGATGACAATTGAAGAGTTGTTAACAGCCTCCGTCCCTCAAGATTGTTCAACTGTTCCATGACAACACGATGTAGGGATTTTTCTGTAGGATCAAAAGGCACGTGGTTTGTTTCCTCGGAGCCAACATGTAATATTTCAACGGTATTACGAAAAGTCTTGAACGACACATGATGCACTGTCGATACGCAAATAACGGATTCGGTTGTTATAATCCTCGGCTGCGCCTCAGATTACAATATTGAAGATTCAACTTTGACAAAAAGCATCAGTCAAACATAACCACTGAAAAAAAATCAGAACTAGTAATACATTAACATACATTAACACTGTGGTAACAGTTTTTTGTGTAAAAAATAAATAACAATTGATGGCGGTTTTTCATCGAGTTTCAGAGATCGGCTTGTGGTTCCGTATGTTTAATTAATTGGTCTGTGCCATATTGGATTTTATACCATGTACATCTTTCATCATTCGAATAGTGTTTGGGTTTTTTCCAATAATAGGTTTTGTCTACCTCGCCGCCAACTGTGTATACCTCTATATTTCCAACATTGGTAATACCCTAATTCGAGCAATAATTATTATTCACGGTAAAGCTTACACAGAAAGAAAATACTAGATCATTAGAAAATCACTTTACATATAGCTATAACGCCATCGAAAATGTCTGTGAATTTCTTATAAAATCCCAATATGGATACTTTAACATTCAGATAAATCTCGGTATTTCGGAAGTTTCTTTAGTTGTGATGAAATATTATACGACAGATATTTCTCTACATGTCAAGGGATATTTTGATAATGATAAAAGACATTCCTCATGATGTTACAGAATATGTTTATTATATTTAAAGCAATATTTATCAAAAAGAAAAGATTATTGGATATAGCGCTCAAGAAGAGTTAACTGCAGACACGTGTTTCGGGCTTTTGGCCCTCATCAGTACGGTGAAAGAAGTGCAAAAGATAGGCAAAAGTTGGTAGAAGACGAAACTATAAATCGACGGAGTCAACAAACAGAAGCCTGCCGCACAATAATTGTAGTTTCGGTAAAACGACCCTGCATTTTCAGGGCTACAAATAACGTCACCACGGAGACAGATACACCTGCGTGACACCTGAGTCCAGGAGTAGAATCAAGATGAAAGGAATATTAAGGGAACTGTTTTAAGCACGTGTCTGCGCTTAACCGTTACCACCGATTTAACTCTTCTTGAGGGCTATGTCCAATAGTCTTTTCCTTTTGCTTGGAAAGGGTTTTGTAAGGTATTGTACATGTCGAATTAATTTCTGTGTTTTTTTTCAATAAAAATGAATATTCGGATTTGATATTCTTTTGAATTCACTTTATATTTATGGCGTATTTGGCCACATTGATGAACATGATCTCACGTGGTGACGTGCTTCACAAACGTATTCTTTTCTCCGTGTTTGGCGATGTATTTTCGAAATCTCACTATACCTTTTCAACTTCAATTTCGGAATCGGTGAGGTATATTTCGGAAAAAGTAATCTCGATTTCAGAATTGGTTAGTTCAATTTCAGAAATGGTGAACTCAATTTCAGAATCGGTGAGATGAATTTCAGAAAAAGTCCATTCAATTTCAGAAATGGTAAGTTGTATTTCAGAATTATTATTGGTAGGTTCAATTTCAGAAAATGAAATCCTTTTATATGTTTGGAATGTTTTTAATTGCAAAAGAGAAGACTGTTTACAGTGGATGGAACGGTGTTTGAGAGCTCTATGTTGAATCAGATTGAACATAATATATTATTATGGGGTGCCTTGAAGTCAGAAGTGAAGAGCTTCTTGCAAGAGCATCGCCAAAGGGTCATAGCTGGAGATCCGAACAGATTGCTCAACCAGATAGAATTCAGACTGCGATGTCTTGAAGAATGTGCAGATCATTCAATGAAGATGATAACACCTCAAATGTGTTTGCATTCTTATAATCATGTGCAACGCCACTATCTTCCAGCGATTCAGATGGAAGGCATCTGTGGATTAAATGGTTTTTGATGAAAAGTTGAATATTTTAAATATGGTTTGTTAATCTCACATGCAATTAATTGGAAACATTTCGAACAAATATAAGGATTTTTTTTATGACATTGAACCTACCAATTCTGAAATACAACTTACCATTTCTGAAATTGAATGGACTTTTTCTGAAATTCATCTCACCGATTCTGAAATTGAGTTTACCATTTCTGAAATCGAACTATCCAATTCTGAAATCGAGATTACTTTTCCGAAATATAACTTACCGATTCCGAAATTGAAGTTGAAAAGGTATAGTTCTAGTTTTTCCGCTGATAAATAAAAAAAGACAATGATCTTACATGAAGAAACTTCTGAGTTATGAGCGAATTCATATGTTGAAAATCTTTAAATTGCACTCCTGTATATAAAGTTATGAAAACTGAGATACGTCATTATGTGAGATGACCGTCGATATGAGTATTGAACGAGACAGGGTGGTATCTAGTGCGAGAGTAGTGAGCCTCGTTGTGAGCAATGACATTGAGCGAGAGTGTCAAATTGGGGTGGATTTGACTGTCTGTGTCGCGAAGACGCGCATTGAGAAACAGTTGATCAAAATGCTTGTGTAGCGGAGGCAATGTGAAAAGGAGACGGACTCAAACTGCTTTGAATTCGAATAGCCGTGTCGCGAAGTCATTGTGAATGAGCAAGGTGCTAAATGAAATAGTGGTGGATTAGAATACCAGTGCGGATGTCGAGAGATAACTCAACTTGTTGATAACCGTGATTAAACTCTTGAAGTTGTAGATCTCGAATAACACTTCGAATTTCATGTTATTTATGTTGAAAAAGTTAGTGCATATTGCGGACGGAATGCCTCTCCCACTCGTGAAAAAAGACTGTCATTCACTCAAAAAAATTGATGGGTTAAATCAACCGAAAAGAGCATATGAAAATGAGCCTATCTTGTTTAATAATTAAATCAACCAGCGAACAATAGTTGAATATGTTTAGTCACCATACGAATGTAATTGTTGTTTTGATCAAGAAAATTGGTTATCAACCAGATTTTAATCTCACCACAAAATAAGTGGTATGTTAACAATAATTTTTGTCCCTTCACTTATATTTTGTATAGATAGATAGCCATTAATATTTGGTTCACCAACAAAGTGCATAGTAGATATAGGTATATTGACTATTTTTCAGGTTCTTGTACCACTGAATTAATACAGAATTCGAATAAACATCAAGTTTATTCATCACATGGTGGTCAACTTGACAAAATATCTATAGTATAAGTCTCTTCATTCGTAATTTCTCGTCTCCGTTATTTGAATGTACTCTTCCATTTATCCTTTATGACACTCAATGGACGTTATTCAATTGCTACCACGCAGTTTATCATCTTCTTCCTGCAAGAAACGTATAGAATCGAAATATGAATTTATTATTGAATTGATTGAATTCATGATTAATACTCACTCATCAATCATCATGATTATTAATTGGGAACACTACATCAGTGGTACTCCTTGACTAAAGATTTCAAAATTTTCTCAATTTTCTTGTATGGTTCTGGTACTTGTGATATACAACCTCCCTGGGGATATATCCACTTCTTCTGTACTTAATCACAAAAATTGTAGAGAGTCCTGAGAAAAAGAGACGAAGCAATAATTTCATACAGTGTGTTGAATCATTACCAAATTCAGTACTAAATTACAACTCGATATTGTTGTTCATTCGTCTACCAACTATGATAGTAACAAGCTATAATAATATATTAGTTATACAACATAATATAATTCAAATACTATCTTAAGAGTGATTTGAAATAGTTGCAGGTTGATTTTACCTTCCTTTTCGATTGATTACCAACTTTAACAGTGAGCAAGCTGTAATGATATTTTAGTTACAATATAATAATTTCCGCGCGCTGAATACTGCCGGTAGACGTTAAACGTGAGCTCCTACATAAATGTGAAAACCCAATTAGTTGATGTGAACATTGCTGAAAGTGACCTCAACAACTTTTATCCACTAGGAAAATCAAACAATCCACCTATTAAAATCGAATTCACGTCATTTTTAAAAAAAGCCGCAATACTTAAAAATGCAAGAAACTTGAGAGGTACCAGGATCTCTATTGCCAATGACCTAACAATCAAGCAAAGACACGAGAACAGCATTCTAAGGAGACATCTCAACCTAGCAAAGGGAAACAAAGAAAACGATTGTTATATAAGAGGAAACCGACTACACGTGGATGGTAAAATATATACAGCGGAAGAGTTAGAAAATCAAGAAGAAATTGGAAAAAATACCACAGAAAAACCACAAAGTGCCCCAGGTACGCCAATAGCAACAACGAATAGAGAACTTCAAAAACAAACTACGAAACCTCAACAAACAACCAAAAACATACAGCAAAAAATCAACACTCCAACAGAGGGAAATTCAAAAGAGGTAGGGGAAAAGCAGAAAATAAAAACGCGCAGTGTAACCGGAAAATAGTAGTTCTATCATATTGTATTTTGTTCTTATCATTTGTACTTGGTTATTCAATTATAATATTATTACATCGCATAAATGGATCAATACCTCAGAGATATAAATTATATACCAATTAATACCGAGGAAATATTCTCTAGCGAGCTAGACTCCATCAATACACATGAATTTGAATTTATAAATATAATCCATATGAACATTAGGAGCATATCTAAAAATTTTGATGAGTTCAAAGTATTTCTTGAACAATTCAGCACGAAATTTGACTGTATCATACTATCGGAAACATGGAACATTGGGAACATTGAGTTATATAATTTGGATGGTTTTGATAAAGTTTATAATTATGGCTCCATAAATCAAAATGATGGTTTAGTTATATATATTCGAGATTCACTCAACCATAAGTATAAAGTTATAAACATAGATGAATGCAAAATAATACAAACAGAAATATATACCAACAAAAAATCCTTCTTGATAACATCTTTGTACAGGCCTCCCTCTACATCAAAAATAAACTTCCTGTATGGTCTTAGGAACTATACGAACATATATGGAACAGGAAATTTCGACTATAACCTTTTTATAGGAGATTTTAACATAAATATAAAACTCGACAATGAGATAACCAATGAATACCTTGACCTAATGAATGAGTTCGATTTCAAATCTATGATTAACTCATATACAAGAGTATGTAACAACTCAAAATCTTGCATAGATCATATATTCCTGAAAACAAAACACAATATTGAAGAATGCCTACCTATAGTTCTTAAAACTTGCATAACTGATCACTTTCCAATAATACTGAAAATACCCTCTAAGAGAATTTCCCCCGAAACACCCGATTCTTCTGATATGAACAAAAAATACACAGACAATGCAAAACTATGTGAAAAACTTAAAAATGCGTGCTGGGCACCTATATATGAAGCCCAAAACGTGAGTGTAGGAGTTGATTTGTTTGTGAATCAACTGAATAAAGAAATAGAAGAGAGTACTATTACAAAAAAAATTCGTCATAAAGAAAAAAAAAGACAGATGTGGATCTCTAATGCATTGATAAAAAGTATAAGAGAAAAAGAAAGGCTGTATGCACTTTCACAAATAGAGCAGCAAAATGATGTCTTGAAAACCAGATTCGTCACATACAGAAACAAACTGAGAGTCCTACTGAGAATCGCGAAAAAACAGTACTACAGTAACAAAGTTGTACAGTGTGAAGGCAATTCAAAACATCTATGGAACGTAATAAATGAAATGAGTAATAACCAAAAGAAACAAACTATAATTAATGAAGTAAAATTAGAAGATAATACGGTAGTAACAGATCCCGCCATTATGAGCAATGAATTCAACAAATATTATGGAAATGTAGGAGAGAAACTAGCTAACAAAATAACAAAACCCTCGACGCATCCAATACGGCATATTAATCAAAATACAATGTTCATGGAACCAACGAACAAACATGAAGTAGAGGCAATTATAAAAACGTTAAAAAATAATAAAACGCCTGGATTGGACGGGTTGAGGGCTGAAACCTTAAAAATTATCTCTGCATACATCTCCGAACCACTTGCTTATCTCATCAATCAAACCATCACAATGGGAGAATGGCCCAAAAGTCTCAAAGAAGCCATAATAATGCCACTATTCAAAAGCGGAGATAAGACTAAAATGGTGAACTACAGACCCGTATCAATAATTTCGAACTTAGCAAAGATTTTTGAAAAAGTTATCAAACAGAGGTTGGAGAAATATGTGTTAGATAAAAATATTATATCGAACAGACAGTTTGGATTTCAGCCAAACAAGTCCACTGATGATGCGATTTCTCTTCTTGTTTCAAACATTTATGAGTCATTAGATAGGAGTAAGCCAACTTTGTGCGTTTTTTTAGACTTAGCCAAAGCCTTCGATACGGTAAGCCACCCACAATTATTGGAGTCCTTGGAAGACATTGGTTTAAGGGGTATTGTGCTCAATCTGATTAAAAGCTATATATCTAACAGACAACAATACGTCAAAATAGGGAACTGTATGAGTGACGCTTTCGAGGTTGAGTTTGGTGTCCCACAAGGAACCGTACTGGGACCCATATTATTCACTATTTATATAAATAATCTTCTCAAAATGGATAGCCGTGGAAAGATAATTAGTTTCGCAGACGATACAGCCATTTTATATCAAGCTGATAGCTGGAAAGAACTCAAAGACCAAGCTGAAAATGACATGAAATCTATCAAAGATTGGATGGATTATAATTTACTGACAATCAACTTCGAAAAAACTAAATATATCACATTCACATGCATAAATAGGAACTTACCAGACTATGAAACTCTGAAAATTGATGAGAATCATGTGATAAAAAGAACCGACTATATCAAATATTTAGGCATTATTATAGATAAACATTTGAGATGGGATAAGCACATAGAAAACATCAGCAGAAATCTCAGATGTTTAATCTATAAATTTAAACTTCTCAGAACAATTCTAGACACTAATAAACTCAAAATGGTTTATCATGCTTTAGTAGGTTCCCGATTAAACTATGGCATCATAGGATGGGGTGGTGCAATGAACACACACCTTGAAAAAATTAGTATTATACAAAAGAAAATATTGAAAATAATCTTAAGAAAACCTCATACCTATCCGTCAGATAATCTCTATACAGAAGCGAAGATCTTCGACATAAAGCAATTGTTTTATCGTACCATTGTGCTATATCAATTCAGGAATAAATCAAATCTACAATCTCTAAACCATGAATATAATACGAGACAACAAAGCAATTGTTACAAAACTCCATTTTCTACAAAAACAGTTGGCCAGCGCAATTTTGCTTATTTAGCGCCAAGAATGTACCAGATTCTACCCAAAGGTCTAACAGAACTTGATAATCTACGCCAATTCAAGAAAAAATTGAATGAATTTATTGCAAAGTATCCGAGAAATCAACTCATCAAAACAATAGACATGCAAAGATAAAAATTCGTGACACTTATATCTCACATTATTTACACACCTTCATCAATCAATACACCTTTTAGTTTCACACATTACTTATACACACTCTATCAATATTTTATATGTTATTTTATCTGTCTGATGTTTATCTATGCCTATTATGTTATTACTTATATTATTTTATTCACAAATCCAGTATTTATACATTTTCACTACACTTCATCTATACATTGTTATTAAAATTAAAATTAAAATTGAAATATGATTATAGATTATAGAATTAGTATATACAACAAACCAATGTATGTTATATGAATCTTAACAACTCACGCACAGGCAATCTGCCTTAGTGAGTTTTGCGGTTTATTGAAACTCAATTTCTGAATCCATATTGAATTTTATACAAAATTGTACTTTTTCAATAAACTATATATTATTATTATTATAATATAAACTACTCAACACTAATTTCGTCGCACACCAAAATGTCGCCCCTGTTATAATGTGAATAACTTTTTCCAGTTTAGAACAATTTGAATTTGATTCACACCGTTCGATAGCCCAGTCCTTCAGCTATAATCTCGTATTTCATCGAAACATAAGGGTATTCACATAAAATCTCTACATGGTGTTTTCCGACACTGTACAAAATTTCGGAATATTCAAAAGGCTCTCAAATGGTGAAAAAAATTTTTTTTCTCAACTTCGACAACAGAGGCATGAAGAATAATCTCATTACCTCGAGATGTTTCGCGAATCAACTTCCTATCTCTCTTATTTACAGAGTGATCTCACAAAATCAATTTTTTGGTTTTGCAGCCAAATTTTTTTTTTACGTCAACCGATTTTAGAAATCTCAGGCTCATTTTGAAGATAAAACTTCAGATGAAGAGATCTGGATATCAGAATTGAGTCAAGATAACTATCAGAGATCTAGAGTTTTCTTGAAAGTGACCCAAATCTGGAACGCCCTCCGAAACTCGGTTGGTGTTGGGAGGAGAATTGAATGAAAATCGTATAGCTGAAGGACTGGGCTATCGAACGGTGTAAACCAAATTCAAATTGTTCTGAACTGAAAAAAGTTATTCACATTATAACAGGGGCGACATTTTGGTGTGCGACGAAATTAGTGTTGAGTAGTTTAGTTGAAATACTATCTTTGGTTTGATTTGAAATACTTATATGTTGATTATAACTTCCAATTAGTTTGTCTACCAATTACAACAGTGGGCGAACTATTATGATATTTCAGTTACAGTTATAATGTTGTTGAAATACTTAGTTCGATTTCACTAATTTTTACAAATAATTGGTTGTAGGACAAAAATATCAAAACCAACTAATATTTTTGGTTGCCGTTGAATTCGTTCATGTACAATTCTTCCTCAATTGTTTTGACGATCACCGAATCATTGAATCAACAATTATAATGATGTTGTTGATTAAACACATTTTTTTGTCAATCCAACCCATACTATTTCTTTGAGTGTAGGTGTCTATTTAACACTCGATTTAGCACTACTGCTCAACCTTCGAACAGATGTAAGAATAGATATATAGCATTCTTGGGTGAAAATATCAATGATATATTTCCTGCGACGAATATAGGTATTAACATTAGCTATTACTCTCTACCAAATAACGTATCTTTCCTGTCTCTTACCCAAACGCGCATATGTTTCGATTCATCACGTGGGACCCGTGCGGTGTCAGGCTTTAGTTTGCTTGAATTTGGCGTGACGTTTGTCTCCTTTTCCGTAGCCCCACGCTCGTAGCTCCGACGTAAATCCTCCCGGAGTCGTAGTCGGTACACGTTGCAACGAGGCCTGCGCGTTTCGTACACATCAATAACGTGGTCTGTCACGGGCGCCACTCGGTCATATTCCCAAGGGGAGACAAATAGATTATCCGGTCAGAGAAAGTATGTTCATTCGGGTTCCGATTTCAGGACTGTTCAAGAATCGTTCTCG